CCCTTTATAGAAACCATGTTGACTATTGCTCAACAGTTTATGTTTTTCTAGGTGTCGGACAATTTTATTCTTAACTATTGTTTCGACTAATTTGCCCGGTACAGACGTTAGACTTACCGGTCTGTAATTGCCGGGATCACCTCTAGTTTTATCATGTTTTGAAACGTATGTTAAATTTTGATTCTGCAACAAAAAAGGAGTTCTGTAGGTAAAGCACTGGAAGGCTCAAGCTCCCAGGGAGACCCTTCTGAGAGTTCTGCTATTTAAAACCAAACATCCTGCTATTTGTAGAGGCTGCTGCCACCCAGTGGAGGAAAAAAGCTTTATAAGCAAAACAAGACACAAAGGAATTATTATTTTGGCCACAAAGACATTCTGATTTTAAAATCGCTTGAAAATGTATCTTTAAATGTTTTCTTTTCTTTCCCTATTTATGAAAATCCCTTAGAAAATAAAATCTATTCCTACCCAATATTTTCTCTAAAGTGCACACACATTCAACTTGTCATTGTAAGGCTGACAGTAAAGGTTGGGTGACTGACATTCATTTTAACTCTCCAAAAAGAATCTTGGAAAAAATGACATGGACTTTGTGAAGTTTTAATTTGTGATGTCTGTTTTAGTACAAGAGTCCCCCTCAAAAGTTGGACTTTCTGGAGAAATTTCAAGAAATATTCACTTTTAAATGTTTCCTCTGGAAAAAAAAGTTAGCAAATTTTTGACCAAATCAGTAACAAAGTTATGTTATGTTAAAATTTGGAGAGTAAATTCAAATACAGAAAGTCAAATGAAGGGATTTGAATCCTGTTTTCCATGTAAATCTCAATGCAACCTTAACTACGGAACCACCAGAGTAACTCAATAATAATCATTTGGTCATCTAAATTACACTAGAACACTGACATGCCCTTCTATCACTCCCCCCAAAAAATCAAGAGATTTTGGTGGGACAAACAAGTTATTAAAAGCCTACTGTGTCCAAAATAATTATATCATTAGTCCCTTTCAGAGGGTTTTTCCAAATGTGACTGCAAGATTTTGCTTGTTTCAATATAATGCTATTCTTTTCTTCACACAAATGAAGAATTAAATTAAAAATAAAAATGAAAAAATGTTTATAGAGAAGGACTGACGCTTCCTTTGGTAACATTTACCTTTGACATCTGGCTAAAATCTGCAAAGCCCTCATTGCTACTGAAGGCACCACTTCCAAACGGGTCTAACGTTCCAAAAGGATCTGAAACAAGTATAGAACAAAGCTATATTGTTTTTATTTTGTTTAATATAATATCTAGACAGAGGAAAAATCTACTGTCACTAAAGTAGATCACCAGACAAATTAAAAAAGGAGACCAACATTAAAAAGCTCTCTTAATACTAGTGCCAATAGCACAAATTATTTAATAAATTCACAGGAGTCATGTTTTTCTCTTTATGACGCAGTCAAAATCATGACAAAGTCTCTTTAAATATGAGCTGACACCTACAACATGGTTTCATAAAACATTTGCTATAAAATACTATCAAGTCAGCAATCATGACTTTAGTGAACTAAAAGAATGATAAATTTTTTTCCCTTGGGTGAAAAATTTGGCAGTAACAAGACATGAACTGTTACCAAGAGGGAAAGATATAAGGAGAGAAGCTCAATTAGTTGAACTTCCATATGTTCACTCCATTCAAGCCTCTCTTTTGTATGCCACTGTTTCTTTTTAATGCTGTTCATTCAGACTTCGTCTGTTACTTAAAGACTTGTTTACATGGAGAACCCAGGAAAATTAATCTGAATTACCAGAAGGTATGAATTTGAAGCTGAATTTAAACCACATTAAACCTCTGTGTGAACACCCTCATTCAGAATTAAAGTGGCCTTAATTTGGTTTAGTTAAGATAAATCAAATTCAGACTCCTTTAATTCTGAAAGATGGTGCTCACACAGGGGTTTAAATAATCCACTTTAAAGTCATACCTTTAATTAATTTGGATTAATTTTCCTGGGTTTCCCCATGTAGACAAGCCCAAGACTACTCAGACCACATTCCAACTCTCTCAAACATTCCTTTCTCAAGCATTGTTTTTCCAAAGGATAGAAAATAGTATCTCTAAATTCCTGTTTATTTCTAGTATCCTAGTTTTTAAATTCTGTTCCTCAATTAAATTGTTCATATTGGTTATGGACTCATCAACTTCAGCAAACTCTTCCATGATCTTGAAAACTTCTATAAGTCACCCTGAAATCTTTTTTACCCATGAGAATCAGACATGCTCAAATAACACACGTTCTTAATTAAGGTAGACCCAGACTGTCACATCCAGAGGAGAAGGGGAGAAAAAGGGGTAGCACATGAAAATTCTCCCCTCATGGAGGATTTTTCCATATTCTGCCACTGGGTGAGGTGTGTGGTTTTCCTACCTGAGGAGGTCCAGGTAGTTTGGTCCTCAGAAGCTATGGATGTTGAGAGAGTTGCTAGAAGGACAGAGCCGTCTGCATCCAGACCCTCTGCACTAGCTGTATATCTCCCGGCTCCCTGGTTCCACTGGAGTCACATTGCCAGGGACTGCCCTGCCCATAGGCTGCCCTTGGAATTCCCCACTTAAAGAGGAATTCCCCAAAAGAGTTAATGTTGCCTCAGGTTGGATTAATTTATCTCCTGTTTCTTCACTGCTTGCTTAGAAGAAAGGTTAGGAGCAATGCATAGCACATGTGTGGAGGATCCCTCGATAGTCTGTAATAAGTACACTGTGATGATGTATCCCATAGAATTGCAGTCTGCTTTTGCTATTCCGAGGCTTGAGGGTGAACTCTGTACGATTTCCAGTGCTGGTGCTAGCCCATGGGGGTTCTAAGGAGGAATATTTTTGGGGCCCCCCCACAACACATACTAATAATTAATAGGGGGCCCCCTTGAGCTGCTCAGGGCCCCAAGCAATTGCTTGGTCTGCTTATGCTTACGCACTGGCTCTAGCAATCTCCAAATTTTAACTGATATACTTGTGTTTCAAAAAGGCAGCAGAATTTACAGTGCATTTTACAGGAAGAAAATACTTCCCTCTTACCTGGGCCTTTTGAAGAGATACTTGAAGATGTGAAAGGATCGCGACTGTCAAAGGGGTCAGGCTAAATGAGGAGGAAAGAAGAAATGGCTTGTTAATAATTTTAATGTATTCTGCACTTACCTTTCTGTGTATACCAAAATCTTCAATACATTATGAAAACTGCTATTCTAGGCCAAAGTAATCTCTAGTACAGTGGTTCTCAATTCCCCCCCCCCCCCACGGACAACTTGAAAATTGCTGAATGTCTCAGCGGACCACTTAACGATCTTTCCAGATGTTGTTTGTACCATTAGCTAACTATTGTAAAGCGCTTTGGATAAAAGGGCTATATAAAAAAATCCTTAATAATAAAGGTTTTTTTGTTCTACAAATAAAAACACACAACTCATATTTTAATATCAGTAGTCTTACCTTTCTAATGCGATGGATGTGCCCTCTTTCCCCCACCATGGCAGCCCCCGATCTGGGGCTATGAAGGAGGGGGGTCTCTCCCCCATCACAGCAGCCACAGAGCTGAGGCTGGGAAGGAGGGCCATCTCTCCCTGGCAGTCACAGCCCTGGAGCTGAGGAAAGTCGCCTCTTTCTCTGGCTGTTGCAGCCCCGCATGTCCCAAATTCCCCCCAGCCCCTCTTCTCACCCCAATGCCCCCCTCCCACCTACCCCCTATTCCTCCCAGGCCACCACCTCACCTTACATGTGCGTCTTCTCCAGGCACCTAATTAGTGGAGCCACGCCTGCACGGCTCCACTAATTAGGTGGGTGGCCCTTCATTCTTTCATGTGCAGCCGCCCAGGCATGCACCTTAGAGGGAACTATCCGCAGACTACCTGAATGGAGCTCACGGACCACAGTTTGAGAACCTCTGCTCGTGTGTAATTCTAGTATAGTCAATGGACTTTGAATTTGACCAAATATTATGAAATACTCTTGTTGGATAAATACACATTATTAGTGCATGTAGGTCTTGATAGCAATGATACAACGGGGAGTTGCTGACAATAAAGGCAAGTATCCCATTGAGCAGAACACATTCCAGAGCAGGGGATCTCACAGTAAAATAAAGCTGGTACTAGTCTATGATGCAAAGCCCAAGAACATATTTCTGCAGAAGTCTGTTGTCAAAATGTTCAGACCTGAGCGCCAAAAGTTGGCATTTAAATAGACCTGGCTTAATTTCAGAGCTGCTGAGTACCCACAACTTCTCATTAAAGAAACAGTAGCTATAGGTACTCATCAGCTCTGAAAATCTGGCCACTTATTTAGCTGCATATCTTTAGGCACTGACGTTTGAAAATGTTGCCCTATGCTTGTAAATAGAAAGGAATTCTCTGAAACACATTTTCACCATAAGGATACCATTATTCTGCTATAAGTAGGGCCCTACCAAATTCACAGCTGTGAAAAACGTGTCATGGACTCTGAAATCTGGTCTTTTGTGTACTTTTACCCTATAATATACAGATTTCACAGGGGAGACCAGAGTTTCTCAAACTGTGGGTCCTGACCCAAAACAGGATGTGTGTGTTGGGGGGAGGGGGGACTGCAAGGCTATTGTAGGGGAGGGGTCATGCTATTGCCACCCTTACTTCTGCACTGCCTTCAGAGCTGGGTGGCCAGAAAGCAGCGTCTGCTCACCAGGCGCCCAGTTCTGAAGGCAGCACTGCCAGCAGCAGCGCAGAAGTAAGTGTAGCAATGGGAGGCCAGAGAGTGGCAGCTGCTGGCTGAGGGCCCAGCTCTGAAGGCAGCAGCACAGAAGTAAGGGTAGCAATACCATACCATGCCGTCCTTACTTCTGCGCTGCTGCTGTCAGTGGCACTGCCTTCAGAGCTGCGCTCCTGGCCAGCACCTGCTGCTCTCCAGCTCTGAAGGCAGCACCACTGCCAGTAGCAGCACAGAAGTAAGGGTAGAAATACCGCAACCCCCCTACAATAACCTTGCGATGTCCCCACTAACCCCTTTTGGGTCAGGACCCCTACAATTACAACACTGTGAAATTTCAGATTTAAATATCTGAAATAATGAAATTTATGATTTTTAAAATCCCATGACCGTGAAATTGACCAAAATGGACCATGAATTTGGTGAAGCCTTAGCTATAAGACAAGTACAAAATCCTGACTCTGAACTACTCTTTATTCAAATCCATTATGAATTATGTTACACCAACACAACTTTGCCAAATACCCAAATGATTACCTACCAAGAATACTCATATAAAGTTGGTATTGTATGACTTATGTTGTGCCACTAAGTATGTCAGTTACAGAATGATGGATGTTTGGCAATGCATACTATTTCACATTGATGGTAGTGTGGTACAGGACAAAAATTTCCATAAAATGGAGACAAGGCAAAGGGGGTTAATTTAATTTCTAGTATAAGAGCTCATGATGAGCTGCTGTAACAGCTGTAAGTCATCAGTTCCAATGGAAATGAGCAGAACTGCTCCTGGACTTGGTAATTCACACCCACTATTCAAAAATGTAATTAGTCACCTATATAAGACTTAAAAAGAAAATCTCCAGACACCTTTCTCCTGTTTTGCCTTTTAGGGAAGGTACCTGCATAACAGTAGAAAAGTTTATTATAGTGCAACATACACAAATTTAAAAATTACCTACCTTTGAGGGCAGCGTGGGTTTTTTTGTGAATGGATCTGAGGTAAATGGATCATTCTTCACCTGTTTCTTAAAAAAATCCTCAGAGACAGAACTACGAAATGGGTCACTTTCTTTAAATGGATCCCCTCCAAATGGGTCTAGCAAAAGAGTTAAGGGATGTAAACAAAATGTACTGCTTTACAGGTAAAACACTAGACAATGTGCTATAGGGAACAATCATGCATTAGCAAGGAGTCAGAACAAATATGCCTTTATCTCAAACTTATTTATCAAATAATAAATGATTGATATATTTTACTCTAAAAAAGAAGAAAACTATTATGATTATTTTAAATTCCAATTAAATTGATGTTTTATGGAGTTTATATTACAGTTATGAACTACATTTAATAAAAGTGTATATACCTTAATAAACTTCTTCCTGAGCTCACCTCACACGCACACACATATTCTGGGCTCCCCAGTTTAAACTAAAAAACAAACACACACACACACACTCTCTCTCGGCTCCCCAGTTTAAACTGAAAATCTGAAGTTTTGGAAGGCCAGCTCTATACTGGGCATATCTATATTTGGCTACAAATTATATCGCACCTGTCTCAAAGAAAAAGCTTTTACCTGTTGAAACAGGTGGTTGTTCTGAAAAAGGATCATTCTGGAATGGATCATCTAGGTAAAAAAAAAAGAAAAATATCTTGTTTAGTCACCTACTTAGAGAATGTCTCCACTGCCCTATAGTTTGGATTAATGGGGTATGAACAGCAGGCACACCAAAGTGCTGCACTGCAACTCCCCTGTATATATGCTGCGGGAGCAAACTTAAGAGAGTAAACTCTGGACCTTTAAGTTTGTACCCCGAGCATCCACACAGGGAAGTTACAGTGCAGCATTTCAGTGAGAATTGCTCTTCACACCCCTTAGTCCAAACTGCAGGGCACTGTAGACATACACTCAGTTAATAAGATTAGCACAGTTTGTAAAAATACATTTATAGTACAATATGGTCTTCTGGTTCTTATATTAGCCATCAGTTACTTACTGCCTTTGAAAGGGTCTGCTCCTTTAAAAGGATCAGATCTGAATGGATCTTCGGCCTGGAATGGGTCTGTATGCAATTCTTGTGTATTATTACTAAACAATAAAGCTTTATTCTTGAAGGGATCATCCTAGAATTAAGAAGAGAAATATTACAAAGATGTTATCAATATTAAAATGATTAATCATCCAATTAGAATACTGATGCATCTTATTCCTGTTCAATGTTATTTTAAATTTAAGAAGCTCCTTATTGAAACCAGTCATGCCCTTTAAACTGAAGCAAATGTCATAAATACATTGCTTGAGGCTACACAGAACATCAATAACTGCATACAGCACACAAAAACGTGTTATTTCTGATTTTTGCATATTAATTTCTGAAATGCCTTCACGAACTTTCTAAAATTCCACCCATCTAGATTTTGCAAAAGCCCCAACTCCATGTAAAACATCTTAATTTCCAAGATAAATATATCTTTCCACAAATCTTTGGCTATTGATTGCTGTCTAGACTATAGTGGAGCAGGAACAATTATACCAAAACTGTTTCGAATAGATCTACCCCAGTCCATTTGACAAGCAAGAACAGGGATGGATTTCCTTCTAAAAACATGCTACCCTACCCATGCTGGAAACGAACTCTCCTACACAGATGTAATCCATAGCATAGTTTTCAGGTTAACTATGGTTATTGCTAGCACAGTTCAAGCCAATGTTGCTAAACTAAAAAAAACAAGCCACAACCACAACACATGAACTGACAAAGTTGTGTCAATTCTTCATCATATGCATTTGTTTGTATGATATATTCTTATACCCTAGTCTTTGCCTATTTTGTGTCTTTTAGACTGTAAACCCTCTGGAGTAGGGATTGTCGCTTATGTTTGTACAGCACTCAGTACAATGGAGCTCCAATCCTGACTGATGCCTTTTGACCATAATAAATGTTTACTAACAACAACAGACAAGGCCTTGGAGTTTACACAGCTAAAGGATCTCTCCTCAGTATAGAAGACACAAATGAAGAAGTCTAAAATTAAATTTTTTAACAGCAAAAGAAAAAATACAGAGGAGGCAGGAAGGATTAAGAAACAGAAAAGAAACAAATGCTTTACAAACTTTTCTATTTGAACATAGAGTTTTCTTCCAATAAGTGGTTCTCAGTCTTTACCAATAAAAGCCACATTCCAGAGACTTCCACTTGAAATTAAGTTTGACAATAACCATTCAAGCACAAAGACTGAGCAGCAAAGTATTAAAAAACAACAAGTCTGTGAGAACAACACTGTTCTGAGATAATCCCTTTCTTTCGCAAGTGTTTTCCTTTTGTTGCTTGAGCAGAGACAAAGTAATGCAAGGCAGAAAGGTACAGTACTTTCTGAATGCTTATTAGGCCAGTGTACTAAATATACTATATACAATATAGTGGTATTCTATAAGAATTTGCATGTTATTAATGCTATCACATTTCACTTAAATGTTTATTTTGAAATAGATCAAAGTGTTTTGGATACCTAAAAACAGAAACACTATCTAGAAAGCTATTCTACTTTCACTTTTATATAATCAAGACTTCTAAAATAGCAAAATAAAATCTGATTTCTACAAAAAATAAAAACAAAACCAATAAATATGGAAAAATAAAATTTTCTTGAAACTCCCTGCAAACTGGGTATTTTGTAGACAGCGTTCATAACTTTTTAATTTTACAAATATTTTAAATGACAATTATTTAAAAGAGCAAACAGGTTGTATTGCTGAAATGTGTAAGTGTACAACTTACATCCTACAGAAAAGCAGAAACCGTACATGACTGAAGGACTCCAAGAGAACAGCTGGACTGGAATTTAAAAGAAATTTTCCCCTGTTTTGCTCAGCCCAAAAGTCAGACAGGCAACACATTACAGTCTGGTCTACATTTAAAACTTTTACCTGCATAACTATGTCACATAGGAGTATGGGGTGGGGACGGGGAAATCACAACTATAACCAATAGCTATGCCAGGAAAAGCTCTTGCATTCATGCAGTTATACTGGCAACATTTCCTTTGGCCAATATAACTTATTTAGTTTGAAGAACTGCTATAAGTTATACCAACAAAAAGACCTTTTTTGCTGGAATAAGTTGCATCTCCAGTAGGAGAGTTTGACAGTACAGCTATACCAGCAAACTATTTCTAGAATAGATAAGACACAAGAATTAATCGTCACGAGAACTAAAATGTTCTAAGCCTATGGATGGAGGCTGCCATCTTGCAGAGATTACAGTGCCTTTTAAAGGTCACACAGTCAAGTAAATAAAAATCTTTTTACAATTTGAGTTTAGGTGCAAGTTACAAATCTAATGATTGTAAAATGTATTTTACACTGCATTGAATCATAAATCCACTTGTTACTTTAATTCAGTCTTTACCATAGCTCCAAAATTGCCTCTTTCTTTCTGTGCAATTCCTTCACTTATGTCCGCTAAATTCGTCATACTACCACCATGAATCCCATTCAGAGCTTCATTATTTTGTTCAATACTTTTACTGATTTCCTGGTGACTCTCTTGAAGTTGAGAAAGTTTACTTCTTGCCTAAATAATGAAAAATATTTCAGTATCATGCAGGATTAGACATACACTCATATGAGCAAGCAACTAGCTACTCTGAGAATGAAAACTAGTACTCATCGACAAATCTGAACATTGCATTCACTCTGGAATTTGGTTACTGCAGGGCTCGAGAGATATGGGAGTAATTCTGCATGAGGTTAAAAACAATTGTCAAAGTGTCACAGTATTGTCCTATTTTTTTTTTTTTAACATGAACTGGCAATCAAACTACTAGTCTGCAGTCACAAACCCCTATGCAATTATAGCAGTCTATTTTTTTTCTGCAGGATTCACTTTGTAGGTGCAGTTCATCCCTTCCTAAACTACTGGGCTTTAAAAGAGGGAGAAAGATGTGTATAAGATTACAGAGAATACCTGATTAATTTCTTCCTGTGTTGATTTTAAAGATTTAATTATTGTTTCAAGTTGCACTTTTCCTGCTTGGATACTCTGTTCTAGCTGAGTCTCTTCTTGCTGGAGACGATTCAGCTCTGCTTTTGCTCTATTCAGATCATCTTCCTGTGATTTTAAATCTGATTCCTGAGACTGAATCTCCATTTTCAATGATGAAATCTGAAAAAGATTGCCATGCAGTGCCAACTTTAGAGTGCAAATTGAAATTAGAGTAACATTATTATTAATTGTGATAATTAATATTTCATTATATTCAGGATATTAAAAAGTGGTCAGCTTTCAGCAGAACCAAATTTATAAGGGTTATACCAATTTCCTGTTTCTTATGTACCCATAGGACCACTGTGACAGGGTGCATCCTGGGAATGTGGGACTGTTGTGCCTCCTTAACTCTCCATGCTGGGCTGTCTCTCACAATACCTTGCTAGTGACAAGCAGCAAACCCCTCCAAGCACTGTTATCACTCAGCACAACTGCATGTGGAGTCCTTCACCCAGCTAGATTGCATGAATGTTCCCAGAGCCACTCATGAATCACACAGAATAAGGCACCAGCCAAATCTCCCTAGCTCCCAGCCTTGTACCTCAGGAATATACAGTCTTGCATTGCTCAAGACGAGCAGTGAAACTTTATTCATTGGTTCCCCACTTCATCAATGGAAAGTGGATATACACCAGCTTTTGTAAATCTGAGCAGATTTACCAAACACTTCAGGCAAACTCACTGGTAAAGATAAACAGTAAAACAAGTTTATTGATTACAAAAGATAGATTTTAAGTGATTATAAGTGATAAGTCAGAGTTAGTTACCAAAAGAAAAGAAAATATAAGCATGCAGTCTAAACTCTCAACCTTATTAGATTGGGCAACATCTAGATTAAGCAGTTTCTCACCCCACTGGATATTGCAGTTCATAGTACACAGGTTTCACCCTTGAAACCTGGGGTCAGTCTCCTCTGTTGGAATTTTTAGTCTTCTGAGTGTCCTTGTTGCTTGTGGCGTAGGAGGAGAGAGAAGAAAAGGCCAAGCATGGGGCCACTGTGTTCTGTTTTATACCCTTAGTCCGTGTGCTTGGAGAACAAAAGTCTAGGCATGTCTGGTGGGCATTGCTGAGTCCCCAGGCAAGGTTGAGCAATGCCCCTGGTGTGGCCTTATGCAGGCGAGTCATTGAATTGTAACTGCTTTGCTGGACAATGGCTGTTGATGGTTGTTTGACACCTGCCCGGGCATTGGTTACTTTCCTTGCTATTGTCTCTGGGAACTAATATCTGGCCGATTCCTCAACTTACAGCATGATCATAACCTTTCCCCTGATATCTTAGATGGAGTCTTTTATATGCAATATCACAATTATATAAATGAGGAATATGGGGGTTACAGGGCACGCTCCCCTGTTGTGTAGAGTGTCACAACTGGTCAAACTGAGTTTCTATAAAAAGACATGTTGACTATACTGAAATCATGTTAGAAATGAACAAGCAAACTTAAAATGTTGATCATTATAATAATGCACCTTAAACATTTTCTGTGTTGAAACTTTAAAAAGACTCAAAACCAAACTTCCCAGCTTTGAGTCTGGTTCCTCTAAAATTGGCATTTTCACCTCTAACATGAATAATATCTAGTTGGGCAACTTGTAAATATTGACAGAGTCCACAAGACAAGAGGAATATTGTTGCTTAATCCTACTTCCCACTTTTTATTAACTTTTTCCTGTTTCTCAGGCTATTAAAGAAGTTCACTTATCTGTATTTTCATCAGTGCATTAAAAGCCTGTGGCTTTAAGCACTAATATAGAACTGAAACACAAATTCTGATGTTTGAAACTACCGACTGAGTCAAATTAATACTGCAATTTTAAGCTACCAGTAAAACAAAGTTACCTGACTGAACAAGAGCACCAGAGCATTATTTATCTTGCTGTATTTCTTTTCTTCTCCATTTATTTATCCATCACAAGTAAAAGAACAACAAAATAGATGTATACGCGCTAACACCTTACAGCAGCACCCAAGAACAATACAAATGACTAGGCAAAGAGTTAAATAAGCTACTAAGATGGAAATAAAGATCACAAGTGACTACTACATAAACTGATGGGAATGTGATAGGGAGGTGTGCACCATCAGTACCACCTTTAGGTTTTGTTTTTAAACACTGTATCATTAAAAGATCACATGTTCACCTAAAGGACCCTAAACTTTATACATTAATGAGAGTTCATATTCTTCTGAAAGTGTCTCTTCTCCCAGAATATGGAGATAGAGTATGCTGGACTCCTCAGATAGCCAGATACTCTATTCAGATATTTCAAAAAAAATAATCAATGCAACGTTATCAGCCAAAAATATATTGAATAGGCATATGACGACACTGCCTCAATGGAACAGCCAGCCTGTTTTAAGAAGAGAGAAAACTAATTTTTAAAGCAATTCCTACAGTGCACAGAACAAGGTGGTTACCCCTGGATTATCCACTTCCACAGACTGATGCCATCTCTGTGTTGATGACATCCCAATCCACTTCTCTATCACAATTTATACCCATCACCTGTGCCTTTCTAACATCTCCTCTTGCAGATGGACTGCCACAACTCAAGCTCAACATGGCAAAAACTGATCTTCTCAACTTGTCTAATATTCTTCATTTGTCTATATCTTGGTCACCGCCTTGACTTCTCCTCCTCTTTGGCTCATAAGACCATAAGAACGGCCATATTGGGTTAGACCAAAGGTCCATCCTGCCCAGTATCCTGTCTACCGACAGTGACCAATGCCAGGTGCCCCAGAGGAAGTGAACCTAACAGGTAATGATCAAGTGATCTCTCTCCTGCCATCCATCTCCACCCTCTGACAATCAGAGACTAGGGACCCCATTCCTTACCCATCCTGGCTAATAGCCATTAATGGACTTAACCTCCATGAATGTATCTAGTTCTCTTTTAAACCTTATAGTCCTAGTCTTCACAACCTCCTCAGGCAAGGAGTTCCACAGGTTGACTGTGTGCTGTGTGAACAACTTCCTTTTTATTTGTTTTAAATCTGCTGCCCATTAATTTCATTTGGTGGCCCCTAGTTCTTATATTATGGGAACAAGTAAATAACTTTTCCTTATTCACTTTCTCCACGCCACTCATCATATCCCCCCTTAGTCTCCTCTTTTCCGAGCTGAAAAGTCCTAGCCTCTTTAATCTCCCTTTTCCAAAACCCTAATCATTTCAGTTACCCTTCTCTGAACCTTTTCTAATGCCAGTATATCTTTTTTGAGATGAGGAGACCACATCTGTACGCAATATTCAAGATGTGGGTGTACCATAGATTTATATAAAGGCCATAAGATATTCTCTGTCTTATTCTCTAGCCCTTTTTGAATGATTCCTAACATCCTGTTTGCTTTTTTGACTGCCGCTGCACACTGCATGGACATCTTTAGAGAATGATCCATGATGACTCCAAGATCTCTTTCCTGATTAGTTGTAGCTAAATTAGCCCCCATCATATTGTATGTATAGTTGGGGTTATTTTTTCCAATGTGCATTTTCCGCCCAGCACCTTGTCTCAGCCACTCACCCTTCAGACTATCCAAAATGCTTCTGCTAAAATATTCATTCTCCGGATCACAGACTAGATCACTCGCCACTTTCAGTCTCTTCAATGGCTTCCTCTTGTCTTTGGGCTTTTCTACACAAACATTTAGCTTTCAGCAAGCTGGGGTGTGAAGCAACTCCCACTAGCCTGGCATGAATTAACTGTCCATGGGAACCAGTCTTCCAACAGTGGCTAGTGCCAGATACTTCAGAGAGAATGAACAGAACAGGGCTATTATAGTGATCCATATTCTGACATTCAGTCCCACCTGCTGGCAGACAGAGTTTTAGGGACACCCAGAACATGGAGTTTTGTCCCTGACCATCTTGGCTAACAGCCATTGAGGGACCTAGCTTCTATGCACTGATCTAATTCTTTTTTTTAACCCAGTTATACTTTTGGCTTTCACAACACCCCCGGCAACGAGTTCCACAGGTTGATTGTGTGTTATGTGAAGAAGTACTTCCTTATGTTTGTATTAAACCTGCTGCCTATTAATTTTCTTGGGTGCCCCTGGTTCTTGTATTATGTGAAGGGGTGAATAATACTTCCTTATTACTTTCTCCACACCATTCATGATTTTAAACACCTCTCTCATATCCTCCCTTCAGTCATCTCTTTTCCAAGCTGAACATTCCCATATGAGGAGAGATTAAAAAGCTGGAAGCTTCTCCATACCCCTAATCATTTTTGTTTCCTTTCTCTGTACTTTTTCCATTTCTAATATATATTTTTTGAGAAGGGGTGACCAGAATTGCACCCAGTTTTCAAGGTGTGGGCATATCATGGATTTATTAAGTGGCATTATGATATTTTCTGCCTTATCTATCCATCCCCTGTGTAATGGTTCCTAACATTCTGTTAGCTCTTTAGTCTGTTGCTCGACATTGAGTGGATGTTTTCAGGGAACTATCCACAATGAGTCCAAGATCTCTTTCTTGAGTGGTAACAGCTAATTTAGAACCTATCATTTGAAATGTATAGTTGGGTTTATGTTTTCCAATGTGCATTTCTTTGCATTTATCAAAGTTGAAATTACTCTGCCATTTTCTTGCCCAGTCACCCAGTTTAGTGAGATCCCTTTGTCATTCTCTGCAGTCATCTTTGGGCATAACTATCTTGAGTAATTTTGTATTATCTGCAAACTTTGCCATTTCACTGTTTACCCCCTTTTTCCAGATCATTTATGAATATGTTGAACAGCACCGGTCCCAGTACAGATCCCTTCCCTCCCTTTGTTTCCTTCCTATCTTTTAACCAGTTAGTGATCATGAGAGGGCCTTCACTCTGATTCCAGGATTGCTTACTTTGCTTAAGAGCCTGCAGTGAGGGACCTTGTTAAAGGCTTTCTGAAAATCCAAGCACACTATATCCACTGGATCACCCTTATCCATATGCTTGTTAACAGTGTGACGCTGACAGATCAGCTCAAATCAAAACCACAGGCCAATTCACTTATGTGTGGATATCAAAAAAATGTTAATGTTATTGTCTTCACATACTTGTTACCTGTAGTTTACTATCACATTACATTAAGCATACCTCGTATTTAATTAACCCTAGATCAAAAAGTTAGTGAGAATTTACTTGATGTGAAAATTGCATGAAAACTAATGAAAGGTTGTTTGGATTGTTGTAACTAAATGCACTGTGTATATCTTTGTAATTGGATTGCCCATCAAACAGGACTGGCACCTCGGAACTGTAAATGAAGAAGCATGCTAACTTCAAAGCATGGATCATTATGTGCAACAATGGGAAATCCACAGACTCAGTCTGCATTTAGTCAACAAAGAAAAAGCCTATGCTATGATGGAGATTGCTTACCAGATTGCTTTCTGGGGGAAACCGCTATAAGAATGGATTTAGAGAATAATCAGGTATCTCTGAACTGCTTTGGATTAAAATGGGATGGAATACTGAACAAGTGGACAGAGATCCCCAGAATTACATTTGGAATGCCTGAGGAACTTTTGGAAATCTAGCAGATCACAACAACTCTGTTAACATTTTGGACTTACAAACTTGGAATCACCTGTTAATGTACTTAACCTCTCAATAACTCTCATCCTTTTTTCCTTAGCTAATAAACCTTTAGTTAGTTTACTAGAGAAATTGGCTTCAGCTTTGTTTCTGGTCAGATCCAGAGTACCAATTTGATCTGAGGTAAGTGACAAATTCTTTTGGATTAGGAGTAACCTAATGTGAGGTGATTTTTGGTTTTAATAAACTTTCATCACAAAGTCCAGTTTGTCTGGGTGGCAAGATTGGCGGAAAGCCTAAGAGGACTGTCTGTCTCTCCATGGTAAGACTAATATAGTGATCAGGAGTTCACATTTGTTACTGGCTTCATGAAATCTAATAACAGAATATACCACCAGTTTGAGGTGTCTGCCCTGTTTTCTGACAGTCTGACCTGAGTTCGGCACTCGCAGCGGTGAGCCACTTAAGACAGTGTGACAGACGCCCTCTGAGAATTCTAATAGATTGATGAGGCATGACTCTTCTCCAACATATTCCATTTATCTACCTGTCTGAGAATACTGTGTTTTACTATAGTTACAACCAATTGGTTTGGTACTGAAGTTAGGCTTACCAGCCTGTAACTGCCAGGATTGCCTCTGAAGCCTTTTTAAAAAATAGACGGTACATTAAACTACCTCCAGTCATCTGGTCCAGAAGCTGATTTAAGCAATACGTTACATACCACAGTTAGTAGTTCTGCAATTTCATGGTTGAGTTCCTTTAGAACTCTTGAGTGAATACTATCTGGGCCTGGCAACTTATTTCTGTTTATCAATTTAATTAAATTAATTTAATTTAATCAAAGCCACCTCTACTGACACCTCAATCTGGGACAGTTCCTCAGATTGGTCGCCTAAAAAGAATGGTTCAGGTGTGGGAATCTCCCTTACATCCTCTGCAGGGATGACTGATGCAAAGAACTCAATTAGCATCTCTCATTCCCTTCAACTTCCCCTCCCTTTGCTCCATCCTACCCTTTCTCCTAATCCCTCCCTTTGAACCATTTTCCTCTCTCCTCTTAACTTTTTGTACCTTCTTCCATGCTGCTCCCCTATGTTGGAACTTCAACCCCACACATCTCTTTCGTGCACCAAAAAAGTAACTTCTCTTTACTGTATCCCTCCTCAAAACATATTTCCTTCCTGAAACACTGGTGTGATAATCTTTCATAAACATTGCCACTACCTGTACCACTGCCCAATGATGGTAGCTCCTGTGAGGAAGGACCATGCTTTTCATGTACTGTATGGCGCCCAATAAATATTCATGACTGTTAGAAAAGCTATTCAAGTTAATAAAGCCCTTTTCTGCACCTGTGTATATTTGTATAGTATAGGTGATTAAGAGCAACATTAGCAGGCAAAACAAGAGTTATTTATTATATTGATAAACTGTTTTTTTCCCCCCAGTAAAAGATGCAATATGCATGATCACCTCCAGAATTAACACACACTCACCATCTGTGTTTCTTCCTCACATTTCTGCCTCACATCATTTAGCATATCTTTCAGTTTGGCTTTCTGCTGGTCCATTTCATCTAGGCGGTCTTGAGCATCTTGTTTCTGAGCTTCCAGCTCTTGCAAGTTACTTGTTTCTCTGTCTAAATCATTTTGCAGCTCCTGAAAAAAGTTCCACAACATTATAGACTACACTTAACCGATGTCTTGTGACAAGCGGTTAAGCTTAAAGAGACATACTGAAGTAGGAAAACCCCAAATTCAACCTGCCTGTGTTGCCTATAGAATTTCCCCCATTCAAAGGTTTCAGTGCTTTTTGTAAACAGATTAAAAAACAAAAACAAAACAAACAAAAATCTGCCAGCACTTTAGCACTCATGAATAATCTTCTATAAGAAATCAATGTCCATGCGACGGGAGAAGAGTCTCAGAAGACAAGGATTTCAGCTATTCTAAGCCTATTATAAATGATTTTTAGAACATGAATTTCAGAATTTAGATGGGATATCTTCACAAAGTTGTTTAAACAGTATTAACGAAGCATTAACAAAGAGAAACATTTTCTATTATATTCAATACTATCTGCATTTTACACTAACCAGCATCAAAACAAAATATTTTCTACAGTGCACAGAAAAATGAAATAATTCCTACAAGTTATTCCCCCAGTGCCAGAATAAATATACCCAGATGAATTCATAAAGGAAGCAGGGGGGGGGGGGGGGA